TATTAATTTAGCTCATAAAAAATAAAAATATATTATTTACTTCAAGGCAAAAAAGTTAAATAAATAATCTTTTTTTTAAATTGTTACAATAGTCCAAATCTATAACAATGTCTTTTTAAATCTATTTATTAACCTGAAAGATTATTTCAGATACGTTTAGATTAATAACACTCAAAAAAAAATTTTTTTTTATTTCTTAATTACTGCAATTATGCATTTCTAAAGTTATTTTGCTGGAGCATTACAAAAAAAAAATTTAAAAACTCGTTATTTTCTATCAATGTGACTGTATATTTTAAATTAAAAAAAAATATTAATTTTATCATTACATGTCGGTAATTAAGAAGATTAATTAGTTAAATGCATTCATTAAAAACAAATTATTTCGAATTTAATTAAGAGGTCTTAAATTAAATATTCATTGAAAAAAAAATTTATGCATTTTTCCTTTCGCTTAACAAAAAAATCTAATAACCAGTATATTGTGTAAAACAGTTGTTTGTTTATTAATTAAATTTTTGCTTCGTTACTTATACTTATGAGAGGCTTAAATTTATTTTACAGTATTAATTTTCAATTTATGACAACGATCTTTCTAGAAAAAAATATTACTTTGTAACGACTAACAAAATAATATTCTCATCTAGAATTCTCTCCTTATTCGTATTATTATTTCAATTTTAGTTTATTTTATATCTCTTCAATAAAAAGAAATTTGTAATTTGGAGCTTTTTAACTATAGTCTTGGAACTACCACACTACATGGTAGTGATATTTCCGGTTAAAAAAAATTTTAAAAACACCAACATAATTCTAATTAATAAAACTAACATATACGGTATTTAAACCATTAATTTGCTAATTTTTCCGTTCATATTATAACGGTTTACCGGAAATTCTGGTTTTCAAAACTACAGTTCTTACTATCACACATTTAGTAAAAAAATAAAACTAAATAAATTTAACCACATAAATGATTTTCATACCGTGCTCTAAGGTATCATGATAAAATTACCAAATTTTACCACATTTGCCAAATTTTATCTTGTCTTATAAAACTGCGTTTTATTGTTAATTTTGCTAAAATCATTACCAAATCACTTCGGTAAATATTCTCAGTCTTTCTGGTAATCCCATTGCGCCAGAAACACAGTACATTCTACCTTATTGTAGTAGTTTTAACCATACTTTTTTTTTATCAAAATAGTATTGCAGATTTATTTTTTTCCTTTTATTATTTATTTTACTTTTCCGAATAACAATATATTAGGATCACAGAAAAGTGTAATCATTTTTTTACACTAATTTGAAATACATTTTCAACATTCTATATATTAAATTTAAATGCATACATCATTTTTAACTATTGCATAATTGCAATATATAAACTCCTGTTTGTGAAAATTGCAACACCATGAAGGAATCGTCATAATTGAATGAAATTTAATACACAGTTGAGTGGTAGTGGTACAAATAAATGATTAAACTTTCAAAGCAAACAAACAATAACAAGAGATCGAAATCAGTATTTTGTGTAGCCACCACGCACCGCAATAAGCGCTGCTACACGACGTGGTATGGAGTCAAGTAAATTTTGAATGTCTCTCTGAGGAAGAATATTCCATATAGTTTGTATGCGTACCCAAAGTTCGTCTGTAGAAGCAACAGGAGACGAGGATCACGAGCGAGGCACCGACCAACGAAATGACACACATGTTCAATCGGCGGCAAATCCGGGGAATACGCAGGCCAAGAAAGAAGCTATACCTGCCGCGATGCAAGGAAGAATTGAACAGTCCTCAGCAATATGAGGGCGGGCATTGTCCTGTTGAAATTCAGCGCCTGTATAACTTCACTGATGAACCAGTTGCTGTCCAGATTACTTACAATTGGTAGCAATTGAGATCGCTCATTATATGCTATGGCACCCCAGACCATAACTCCGGGTGTTCGTCCACTGTGGCGTTCGATAATGCACTCCAGAATTTGGCGTTCACCGGCATAGCGTCTGACACGAATGCGGCCCTCATGGTATCACAGATTAAAGCGGGATTCATCAGAAAACACGACACGCTGCCAATCAGCACGGCAGTCAATATGCTGATTGGCCCGTTGTAGCCGCAGGCGGCGATGGTTTAGCATGAGGAGGATCTTGTATAAAGGAGTCCTTGCGCGCAGTTCACGCTGCAGCAGACGTCTACGAATTGATGAAGCACACAATGAAACACCTGTAGCTATTGACCACCGTGCTGCCAGTTGTCTAGAGGGAGTCGTACGGTCCGTTAGCGCAACTCGGAACAGGTGTCTATCATCGCGAGCTAACGTGACATTTCGGGGTTCACTCCCAGATTTCCGAGTTGTCCGACATTCGTCCATCCACTGCTTTCAAACACGCATCACTGTGCTGCTGTTACGCTGCACACGAGCGGCTACTGCACGATAAGATAATCCAGCTTCACGAAGGCCGATGATTCTCCCCCGTTTAAACTCCGTAAGTTGTTGAAATCTCGCTCTCTTTCGTCGAATAGGCATAAGTAATGACTAAGCTAACGTTTACCACTAGCAGATAACCACCGATAACCATACTCGCTTGGCTACAGCCGTCTATTTATTCGGATCCATCCGCCGTTCAGAGGGCGCTGCTCAGCATACGCATGCGCTACGGGTCTGAAATTCTAATCATTTGCATATCATGCTCTACTTTGCATTTCCTGAAAATTTCAGCTCACTCGCGTAAGTCCTTCATGGTGTTGCAATTTTCACAAACATGAGTTTACAATTTTAACATTGTAATTGAAATGTATGCATTTTGTTTTTAATTCATAAAGTAATCATCATCGTTATCAACATCGCTCTGCCATTTAGCGTAGGAATTTTTAATGTCAGAAAACCCATTGATTTTTTAATATATTACGTCATCCAAATTTTAAACTTTTTTACTCCATAAAATGTCATAGCTAACGGAATAAATTTAAATCTGATAGAGTAATATCAGGTATGTAAAGTGGATGAGGCAGTAAGTCCCACTCAATTCAATAATTTTTTTTTAATTAGGTTCAGAAGTCGGAAAAATCAAAATTACCGGATTTAAACTTAGAAAAGCATCTTTCACTTTTACGAAAGTCAAACTTTGCGAATGTTTAAGGTATTAGCTGCTGCTTTAATTATTAGCTGCCCTTGTGTGAAATTTAAGAAGCATAAAATTCCAGATATGTACCTCCTCTTTTATGCACCTCCTCTTTGGTTGACCAATTTACCGTAAATTGCTACAAAAAATAAATAAATAAATAAATTTAGTTATTTATGAGTAAACAAGTCCCTCTATCATTAAGATGTCTTTGTCACGACTTTAAGAAATTAGGTGTATCTTTTATACAGTGAAAGATTTCTACCTTTCGTGAAGATTACAAGAATTGCATAATGCTTTCTTAATTAAATTTAAGTTCATATCGTAAAAAAATAATAAAATTATTTTACGTTTTGGAATTTTAAATTATAATTTAGCACTTTAATCGCGGCAACGCAGCTTTTTTCTACCCTCTGCTCTACGAATTCCACTTTCAGCGCTAAAATTAAAAGAAAAGAGTACGAGATATCTCGTGCTAGCACATGAGTATTTCCCGTACAAGACGATATAATTCGTCTATAGAGATTAAAAGTGTTTATTACCCTTTTTTTTAATCATTAAAAAATATAAGATAAATCTTGTATTTAAGCCATAGAGCCGTAACAATAGTGAGAGCAAGCACACTGCTTTATTTTACAATCCCGAACAACTCTTATCACGTGACTTGAAGAGTATTGCAGAACTGTGAAATGGGATTGTTTTTCAACAAGACTGGATTAAAAATGATTTCAGAATTACAATTTTTTGATAATTATGTTTAAACGGAGCAAAATTGTTCACATTTTTTACAGAATTAAGAAAAATGTAATTTTTTGAATGATTTAAAAACTTTAAAAAAATGTATCTGTTGATAAATTTTATAACCATTTGATTCAGCAGTTTCGAGTAATAAGACTCGAAACGTTCGAAGTCATTTTCTAACAACTCTGCACAGTGTGCAAAATGAAAAACGAACCTCCCTAAATAACTTTTGGTCTAATGATCGGACCTTTACATCTTAACTCGACATCTACAGACTCGTTCTTAATGGTTTGAGAGGGTGACCTCAAATATGCCAATTGATTAGTGCAGACGACATTTTAAGTTATGAAATTAGACTCAAAAACGTACTTTCTCTGCATAAACATATCTTTCTTCCAACAGATTCGAATTTCTGACCCCTAATATGTAAGGGGTAGCCGCAATCTGGGAAATATGTTCACCATAATTTGGTCAGGAGGGCGGTTCGCAGTTCTGACCTCTTAATGTTAATTTTATTGTTTGCGTGTTTCCTATATCTCGAGAACTTTTAGTGCGAACTCAAAAATTCTTGCACACAATAATAAAATTTTTTCATTCGTAGATAATTCCATCCAAAATATAACTTTTAGTAAATATTTATTGATTGTTATTATTTTATGTAAAAACGGTCGAAAAAATTTTTAATTTGTAAGGCATACAATTTCTTACATCATTTTATTGTAATTTTACATGGCAAAATACAAAATGTGAGGGATATCGGTCGAATAGTTCCCGAGAAATCAAATTTTAAAAAAGCCATGTTTTTAAATTTCGATTTCTCAAGAACTATTTGTCCGATTTCGCTCAAATTTTGTAACTTGCCCTGTAAAATTGCTGTATTTAATTAACTTCCCATTAATTAATATTCTAACTTACGTGGAGAAACTTAGCTCAACTTAAACACGCCATTTTGCTTGGAAAAGATCGACTGGCGCTGACGCCAAATTACAACAAAAATTATCTCTGGTGCTTCACTACAACACTTTTAGTGTAAAATAGTTTGTTTTTGGAGTAATACTTTTTGGTGTAAAGTGTTAGGACCCACTAAAAGTTTCTACAATGTCACTTCTCAAAGATTAAAATTGTACTTTATTATGAAATCAAGCATGCACAATATAAAATTATTCTGTTAAAATGATGAATTGATTAATGTAAGTCCTATATAACTACTTTTTATACTAGTTTCCTGCTGCAAATCCAGGGTAAGCTTGGTAAGGTGAATGCCGTATTCCAAATGTGATTCTTGGTGTGCTGTATTTGTCGAATTTCACCTGAAATAAAATTAAAACTTTAGTTGGAGTAGAATAAAAGAAGTAAAACACTAGACATCATATTAAGCCTTTTCTCTTGTTGATATATTAATGAAATTTTAAGGTATAGTTTGTCTAAACTAAGAACTCCTCCCGAAACAAAGTCTAAGTCCGTCTGGTGCTATGGAAACAAGAATGGCGCATATTAAGGAGGGCAGCTTCACTCTAGGACTAACACAATAGACTGAATATATTCCCTTTCTCTAGCCGAACCAATCCGAAATCACTCTAAAACAGGGACACCGCACCCCTACTTGAAATAGTCATACCTCGTTGCCATAGTCACCGCCACAGGTCCAGACGAACGCCTGGAGAAGTTCTTATTTTTGACAAACTATATCTGACTAGCGCAAGAACACGATTCTGGGCAAAATTTTCGAAATTGAGTTAATTATAAATTTAGAATTCCTGTACTCTCAACTTTCTAAAAATTCTTTACTTCTGTTTGCATTCCAATCTATAACGGTTTTTGTGCTAGGTAATAACAGTTGATAGACTAATTCAAGTCTTTAAATGCGTTTTTATCTCAAAATCAAATTGTTTCACATTTTACACCACCATAAACACGATATCTCACTATAACTATAATCAAACACTATAAATTAACATTATAATTCAACTAATATAATATAAACTATAATTCAATTTTTTAATTATCTATAAATTGTAAATAAATGTTCAACTGACCAAATGAGAACTGTATGCAGCAGGCCCAGGTGAAGAACTGATTCCAGAAGGCAATGGAAATTTAACACCCATGTAAAATCCTGGACTCTTTGCCATATTAACATTAGTTGATGGTAACATATATGCAGCTGGTCCCGGATTCTAAAATTACAACAATCACAGCAATATTAATGACATTAAGAGTAAAGACATACATAGCAATGACAGTTGAAAAGTTTAGAGAATGAATATTTTAAAAAATACTTGAATGGATTTTTGTATATCTGTTTAAGGCTAATTTACGAAAGTTCTTTCGTTATTTTAAATAACGCTTTTTTAGTGAATTATAAGCTATTCTCATAAGTGTTGTGATTCTATGAGAGTTTTCCCTAACTGCTTGTTTAGATTTTGTTCATCTTTAAACAGCGCCATCTATTGCAACTGTGAATGTGCCTTGAAACGTTAGTAGGAAAAAAAAGCCACAGTCTTAAGAAAATTAAAAACGTTTATGATGTAATTTTTTTGCAATTGAAAAATGCTCTCAAATGCTGCGTAATTTGGACTAAAAGAATAAAATTTTCAAAAAAAAAAGAATTATTTGATTTTAATAAAATACATCTCTATGAAAAAATCCTGCCAAATTTGAAAATTTAAAAAAAAAAAACGTTTTTTGAAAACTTGCAAAATTTTAAAAAATATATATAGATAAATATTCTTTTTAATCTAATACAAATATTTGATCTTGTTTAATTCGCTTGTTTGGATTTCAAATATAGAATTAGCTTTGCTCTTAAACATATATATATATATTTTAATGACGTTTTAACTCTATTTTTTGTCGAAATGTACAAATTCAAAAACGTTATATATAACAGGGGGTCAGATAAATCTTGCGACAAGCTTTGAGAGAAATTAGAGCACATCATCAGGATAAAAATTGCATACAAATCCATGCTTGGAAATGTCATAGTACGTAGCTAGGGACACTTCCCTATTATTATCAGTTCAGGAGCACACGAAAAAACTGTTCATAATGAGGTTGATGCTTTCTTAACTCCCCTTGAAGTTTTTTTTAAAACATTTATGCGACCCCTTGTCTTACATAACATTTTTAACCCCCCTCCTTCTCGCTCCCGTGAAAATGACGGGGTGTGGTTTCGCCCTCTATTTCTCGCTCCCGTGAAATTTCCGAACTGGAGTGTTCAGTAGTAACGCGTCAATGTGAATAAAGCTATTTCATTCCTTTTGCCCCGGAAAACATTCTATTTCTCATTTTGCACACCAGATGGCAGAACCAGGATATTTTTAAGGTAATTGTAGATAGTTAGGTTATTTTAAACAAGATATCAGCACTAATCTATCAGCATCTACTATTAAAAATAGGCACTCTTATGACCGTTTTCTTGAATTGAAATTTTATTGATTTAACCGATCGTTAAGGGGTTGCTAGTAAATTTCTATGAAAAATAAATAAAAAATGCCATTACAAAACCAGCGACTTGGAACCGATTGTAAGTTTGAAATCAACGATAGAAAAGTATATACGATCTTTTAAATAAAAAAAAATCATGCAACACAAAACAAAGCAAAAAAATTGCTCCCCAGTGCCAAATTACCGAGCAATTATTTAATAACTTATAGAACAAAACTAGTTCAATAGAGATCAACGAATATAAATTGATTTTAAGCTAATATTGTTCTAAGATTTATTAAATAAATAAGAATACATAAAAAAACATTAAACTGTAAAAACGGTGGTGTTATATCGCTTCTAACACAATGTTAAACAACACAAAAAAATTGAATCAAGGAACACTTTATTCCGGGTTACAGTTCTGTTTTCTGTTGTGTAAGAAGGATAAATATATTATATTCTTTAAATCTCTGAGAACTGTATTAAATTATTTTATAATGTATAATTTCCAGTCACTTCCATTCAGTTAGGCTAAGTTTGTATTCATCTTAAGATTCTCTCAGTGTTTTTAACGGGTGTTTGATTTACAAACTAATTTTATTTCAAGAATTAGTGTATATATGCATTCTAAATTAATGATTCTTACCATTATATTGCAATACAAAAATAACTTTACTGACTCTAATGTGCATCTAATCTTACTGCAATCATAAATTTCAGTGTTATTAAACAACAAGAATGGTGGCATCTACTTTACAATAAGTGGTGTAAAAGGTCATTGGCTCAATAAAATACTAGATCCAAGAGTTATATATTGCGTTTCACTACAACATTTAGGTGTAAAGTAGATGTCCCCATTTTTGGCGTACACTAAATTTTTTTGCAGTGTACAGTGCACCAAAGAAGTTAACACCCTGAATAACTTTTGATCTAATAGGTTATTCACGTTCTCGGATTCCATCTTAATCGTTCGAGGGGGTGACTTCAAATATGCTACTTAATTAGTGTAGACGATATTTTAAGTCACGAAATCAGATGTAGAAATGCCCTTTCTCTGAATAAACATGCCTTTTTTTCGGTGGATTCGGATTTCTGACTCCCACAATATAGGGTGTAACCACAATTTGGAAAATATGGTCCTCATAGTCAGGTCAGGAGAGCTATTCAAAGTTTGAACCCCTTAATGTTAATTTTACTTTTTTGAGTATATAACCACATCGCGAGAGCTTTTTAAGCAAATTGAAAAATTAACATTAAGTAGTCCAAACTTTGGAGATCTCTCTTGACGAAACTATCGGAGCCCTATTTCCCAGATTGCGGCTACCCCTGATATTTTAGGGGTTAGAAATCCGAATCCGTCGAAAAAATGATATATTTATTCAGAGAAAGTACGTTTTCGTGTCTGATTTCGTAACTTAAAATGCCATCTGAGATTACTAGTTGGCATATTTGCAGTCACATCCTCGAGTCATTAAAATTGAATCCTGGAATGTGAAGATCCAATCATTAGATCAAAAGTTATTCAGGATGGTCCCTTTTTTTGCGCAGCAGTACAATGTAGTTAAAATGTAAATTAGGTGTAAATTAAATGAAATTAAAAACGAAAATTTAGATTAAAAAAATATCCTTATAATTATGTCGAAGAAAGCAAAAACAATCCATTTATCTCCCTCAAGGAAGTATTTCTAAACAAAGAATTAACACGATTTGCGAGTGACATTTCAGGTATTTGAAATGACATTTCAGGTACCTTTGTTCTAAGTTACTATCTAACATAGTAAAATTTCTAAGACATCTTAAAAAAGAAAACAACTAAGCCTTTCTAATGAATGAAAATAAAACTACGGAGCACGATAAATTAGAATGTGTTACTTAAGTTTGGCTCTCCTGATATCTAACGTGTTTGAAAAAAAAAATATGAAATACATTTGAATCAGCGCATTACACAGTCACAAAATTAATCACATTCAGCATAAATTTAAATATATATATATATATATGCATATTTATATATATATATATATATATATATATATGAAGCACAACGGACAAAAATTACTCACCCTTCAANTATATATATATATATATATATCGAAACATTGTATACAATGGTGTACCATATAAAATAAATCTATACCTGCATAATAGAGTATTAAAAATATCATCAAACCGTTAAAAAACCTATAACAAGTAAACGGGGGGAAATTTATATCAATGTGGCGGTTATAATTATATTTGTAATGTACACACCATGTAAAAAAAGACGTTAAAACGTTTGAGTTAAATTCTAAAATCTAGAATTGGGAAACTGCAACTCGAGAAGATGAAGTTAGCTGATATCAACTGGCTGTGTGTTAACAAGACGGCGTGTTAACGTTACAGTTATTAGGTTTGGTTGATTATAATAACGAATAAATTTTTGGATCAGAATTAATAGGATACCTTCAGGTGACGTTATGCGTAGGTGTCAAACCTGATTGGTTGCTAAATCGTTGCATAAACAAATGCCACGATTCAGCAACCAAACAGGATCGATATCCACGCATGACGTCGCTTGCAAGTACATGATTGCCAGTATCTTTAGAAAACAAACAGAGGAGAAAAAACCACGAAATATATTAAAATCATAAGTTGTTGTTTTTTTTTTTTTTAATTTACTTGATCTAGTTTGGCATCAGGTGTTCTTTCTGCTTTTCCCATTGAATATGCTGGGCCTGTGACGTAGGGAGATTTTCCAAAACCAATTGACGATGGAAGCATATAAGCATTTGGAGCTGGAAAAATAAACAAAAAATGTAGTCAACCTAACGATATTTATTCTACTGCAATATATAATCCATTTTTGGGCGGAAAAAAATTATGTTAAATTTGAAAAATTAAAAGTGATCATATAGAAGAATATAGATTTACGCTCAGAGAAAAAAATGTGGTCAAAATTTTCTAAATAAGGTAAAATTTGCAATCATGGCTCTATGAGAACACTGAAAAGCTCAGTAATTTTTATCGCAGCACTTTGGTAATGAGTTTAGTAATATTAACAATAAAATATGGTATTATAAAGTGTGATAAAATTTGGTAAATGTGATAAAATGTATGCATTTTATCATGATACCTTAAAGCATGGCATAAAAGACATTAATTCGGTTAAATTTAGTTTTCAGATTTGTATTTTTTATTTTATGTGTGGTAATAAGAACTGTAATTTCGAAAACCAGGATTTCCTGAAAACCGCTACTATATGAATGGAAAAATTACCAAATGAATGGATTAAATACCGCATATTTTGACTTTATTAATCAGAATTACGGTGGGTTATTGTACCAGAAATGCCATTATACACAGTACGGTAACTTTGTCAGATTTTTTTGCTCCGGACGAAATTAGAAATAAATTTATGCATTCTCATATCAAGATTTTGTTTTTCATTGTACGATCAGTTTTCTGACACTCTTACTATTATCACCAAACTAAAATGAGCCTTTAAATTTTTCTCACAAAAATTTCTCAAGAAAAATACTTTATTGTTTGTTTTAGTAAACAATTAATGCCAAAATAGTTTTTTTTTATTAATTTGCATTCCATTGTTTTTCCTTTCCAGTTTCATATACTGCTTGGCGAAATGGTGTAATTTGCTGCAGTTTTTATTTTATTTTATAACCGTCGTTGAACAGCCGACCCAATTTTATGGGTTTGCGTCTACTAATGTTCAACTCCGTAGCCTTGTGATTTTGAACCCAATCCTGAAGACAAGGGAACTCCTGGATCGAGTATGGAGAAATTTGCCTTCGTGGAGGACTTTTTGAATGAGCTAACCTACATTTGCGTTGCATGGAGAGGAAGATTACGAGAACCTCCCACTGTTAGCCTGGCGGCAAGGGGACTCCAGACCATGATCCATCTACAAATGAGGATATTTCACGGTAGCACTGAGGTCGGTGCATGCCGGATGCGGAATTCGTATCGACTGGGTTCGAACCCGTTTCGGCGCATTGGAAGGTGAACGCTCTATCCCCTGAGCCATCGCGGCTTTTGCTACAGTTTCTATAAAAGGGAAATTTTTTAGATCAAAATGTTCTGCATTGTTTCCAAACCCAAGCTTCTGAAATCCCTCCAAGATAATAGTACAGAGCCACGGTTGATCAGGAGATAGAGCTAGAGGGTTCGCTGTTCAATAAGGCCAATCAGGTTCAAATACCAGCGGTCTCTGGCTAATACGAATTCTACTCCCGGCTCGCACCGACCACGGTGCTGACGTAAGAATATCCTTCTATCTATGCTGGTAATTGTATGATAGGTTAGAATCCTTTTGCCATCGGGCTAACCAAGGGAGGTTTTGTGAAATTGAATCATATAAGGAATGGTGGCTGTCGATATTTACGGAGAAAAAAAAATTTAACACTGTTCGGATCGGAATAGTTTTAATTCTGAAACTTCGTTAGAGATAGAACAAGACGAACGAACGATAATATGAACGATGATATCTGTTACAATTAGGAATGGCTTGATTTTTGCTTTCAAAACTTTTTTTTAAAGTTAATAAAAATTGGACAGCCACGGTAGCTCAGGGGACAGAGCATACGCCTCTCAATGATGTGAGCCAAGCTTGAATCCCAGCCCGAATTTTGCTCCAGACTCGCACAAAACACTGAGCTGACGTAAAATATTCTTGAGTGTTTGGCAGATCGCGGGTTAGAATCTTCTTGCCGATTGGTTAATTGTGAGAGGTTTTCGTGGTTTTCCTCTCCATATAATGCAAATACGGGTTAGTTCCATCGTTAAAAGTCCTCCATGAAGACTAGTTAGTCCCAATGCTTGATCCAGGAGTTCCCTTGTCTTCTGGATTGGGCTCAAAATTACAAGGCTACGGACTTGAACATAGATAGTGGTAAACCCATAAAATTGGGTCGGCTGTTTCACGGCGGTTATTAAGTAAAATAAAATAAAGATAATAGTGCAATCACAAAAGACATCAAATTGCCTATATGGAAATCAGGGAGCTTATGACCCATAAGGAAATATTGACCCATTTGATAATATGGCTTACCATTATATTAGGGGGACTGGAAAGTAATGTCGTTTCGACGCATTTGATATTTGTTATCGAGATTTTATTTTTAATCAATAATGTATTCACCCTCGTTATCAACAACCTTTTAATTCCGGATCAAAAATGAATATAAATGGATCAGGGGAAAAATAAATTGGCTTTTAAGATTAACGAATATGTAATGCACCGAAACTACTTTACTTTCCGGTCCCTCTAATATTGCCTTTAAAACCAAAATATATAAACATTCAAATTCTATTCCAGGAAATTAAATATAGATTTACTCTCATCTTATCAGCCTACCCAACCTCTGCAGGACAATATACTACAAAAGTATAGTTTATTAAAATGAAAAATAAGAGCGATAGCATGATAGATAACAGAAAAGAAATGTTGAAACATTAGTTAAACCAATAATGCCTTAAACTTACATAAAAGAATTAAGGTGTAGATGTAAGAAGTTAAAACCCATAACCACGATATAATAGTTGAGTGCACATATTGATTTTCAAACTTAAAATGGAACCCGCATGCAAATTACATAACAATAAATTTAAGATTTATCTTCAGTGGATTGTATTATTTAAAATTTAAAGTAAATACTAAATTTCTTTTAACTTCATGTTATATCTGAGAACACTCTAACATTTATTTTAGTTAATCAGGCTGGGATGAGGGCTATATAACTAGTACAAATAAGCTACGTGATATTTAACCTTTTCCGGGGGGCTGTGACAGCAGTTGTCACATCTGATCTTGGGATCCTGTGGTGGGCATGTGACACTTTCAGCGAAAGAATAGGGGAAAAAATCTCCTCCTCAGTTAAGAGACAGGNTCAAATACGGGCTTGGGGAAATGCTATAATTTGCTACAGTTTTTATAAAAGGGACATTTTTTTGATCAAACTGTTCTGTATTGTTTCCAAACACAAACTTCCCACAAGATCCGCGATATGGAGCAGCAGTTCATCAGGAGATAGAGCGTTCGCTGTCCAATGAGGTCACTCAGTTTCAAATCCCAGCTGTGTCTGACTAATACAAATTCTGCTCCGGCTCACACCGACCGCAGTGCTGACGAAAGAATATCCTCCTATCTATCCTGGTAAATGGATTATTATGGGTTAGAACCCCTTCGCCGTCGAGTTAACCATGGGAGGTTTTGCGAAATTCAATCATATAAGGAACGGTGGCTACCGATTTTCGCGGTGAAAAAAAATTCTTTAACCTTATACGGAATAGTTTTAATTCTGAAATTTTGTTAGAGATTGTACAAGAGGAACGAACGATGGGAAGAATGATTAATATGACATATGAATATATGAGTAGTATTATAATTTATTTGTTATCAAGAAAAGAAAAGTTTTAGCGAGAATCAGACAGTTACAGGCGTAATGAATAGTGTTATATCTATTACAATTAGGAACGGCTTGATTTTTGTCTTCAAAACTTTTTTTAAAGTTATAAAAGTGTGTAAAAGTTAATAAAGATTGGCGAGCCACGATGGCTCAGGGGATAGAGCGTTCGCCTTCCAATGAATCCTAGCAATTCGAATCCTAGCAATGGCTGGTAGATACGAATCCGCATCCGGCTTGCAGCGATACAGTGCTGGCGTAAAATATCCTCAGTGGTAAACGGATCATGGGTTAGAGTCCTTTTGCCGTCAGGCTAACCGTTGGTGGTTCTCGTGGTCTTCCTCTCCGTGTAACGCAATTTCAGGTTATTTCCATCAAAAAGTCCTCCCCGAAGACAAATTTCTCTCAATACTTGATCTTTTAGTTCCTTTGTTTTCTGGATTAGGTTAAAAATTACAAGGCTACGGAGTTGAACCTAGATAGTCGTAAACTCAAAATTGAGTTAGCTGTTCAACGACAGTTATAAAGTTTTAAAAAAAAAGATAATAGTGCAATCACAGAAACATCTAATTGTCTATATGGAAATAGGGGAGCTTATCACCCATAAGGAGACATGTTCTATTTGAAAATATGACTTACCATTGTATTACCTTTAAAACCTAAATATATAAACATTAAAAAAAACAATCCTGGAAATTAAAAATTAAAGATAGATTTACTCTCAGCTTATCAGCCTACAAAATCTCTTCAGGACAATATACTGCAAAAGTTGTCTTTATTGAAATAAAAAGTAAGAGCTATAACATAATAGATCACAGAAAAGATAAAACATTAGTTAAACCAATAATGCCTTAAACTTACATAAAAAAATTAAGGTGCAGATGTAATAAGATAAAACCCATAACCACGATATAATAGTTGAGTGTGCATATTGATTCAAACTTAAAATGGAACCCGCATGCAAATTATTTAACAAAAAAATTAAGATTTATCTTCAGTAGATTGTATTATTTAAAATTTAAAGTAAATACTAAATTTCTTCTAACTTTATGTTATGTATGAGAACTCTCTAACATTTATTTGAGTTAATCAGGCTGGGATGAGGGTTATATAATTAGTACAAATAAACTACGTAATATTCAAGACAGATTTATTGAATTCTTACTAAATAAAAATGAACAAATTATCCAAAAGCACTATTAGTTACTCAACATATTACCAATCTGTAATTTTTTTTTTACAAACTATGTCAACATCTTTTCACCTATCTCTGCATCAACTATGTCTACATGTCGAACGTCAGATCACTAAACAATGTATGTCAAACTATGTCCACATCTTTTGTAGGAAAATATACTCTGCAGCAAGTTAAGAAAAAACCATTATCCCTATGGAGAGAGCCTGTTTTCATTTAAGTGTACGCCAAATCAATGCCAAGCTCCCAGCTCGAACGTATACTAACATCGCCAACTCTTGAAACGACGTGCACAGCCTTCTTTTTGCTCGCTTTCTTAAATCATGTGAAATGAGCACAACAAAACTAATTGAATAATCAATTAACAAATAATAAAAATTGTCAATTTATAAATGTAAAAATCACAACAAATATACGTCTTTCTATTCGCATTTTTTAAAAAATGATGAACGAATAATAAATATTGTTTTTTTGGAGACTATTTCTTCTATAGAACAAAAGTAAAAATTCCTTATCTCGCATTTGATTTGCTAAGGGCATGTGAGCATAAGAAGCGCCATTTGTTTCTTTTCTAGAACGTATGTTCTTATTTATCGAAATATGTCGCCAAGTCTAGGATTCCAATACGACTTCGAAACTTCAACCATTTTTTAATAATTCTGTGATATGTATCGTAAAAGATAACACGAATTAAATTTATGTCAGACGTGTTTAACTTAAAAGTTTCTTTTCTGATTTGAAAGCAGATTTGTATAATCTGATAAGGAAATAAAACAGAACTATACGCAGTCGATGGATGATTACTTATATCCTATTCAGCAATAGTCTTTTCTTAACCAGAGTGTAGAAGACTTAGCAAATTTACTTCATACCTATGCCTAACAAGAACATTGTTTTCCGTAATTATGGTCTAAATGCTTTAGTTTACTACCTGCTGAAAATCAAAATACAAATAACTTAAATGTCTTTTTAAAAAAATTCTAAAAATTGTACTTTTCTTCACTTAACGAAGATATTTCGTCACAGAAATTCTCTATAACCTTTATCTTTTTTATATAAATCTTTTTTTAGTTATATTTTGAGAAATTTTTGATTGATTTGACTTGTTTTAAACCAAACATCCTGCTCTTACTTACCATTCTTCAAACTTTGAATTTTATAATTATGTTTCAATATTTTTTTGTATACGTTTCCCTTCACGTGTATGTTTTTTATTTATTTTTCTAATTATTATTTATTAAAATATATAAATTCATTTCTGTAGTCACACTGACATGGACCTAATGATTCAAAAATAACTCATTCAATTTAGTTCTTCTTGTGTCCATTTGTTTCCTGTATTTTGTATTGTATTGAATTAATAAATGTGTTTCATTCATTCATACTCTGTGTTAAGTTCATTCAACTGGGGCCTAGGTAAAGTTGTTGTTAGGGTTATTAAGTTTGTACCAACAATCATTCTAAANTGCTCTTACTTACCATTCTTCAAACTTTGAATTTTATAATTATGTCTCAATATTTTTTTGTATACGTTTCCCTTCACGTGTATGTTTTTTATTTATTTTTCTTATTATTATTTATTAAAATATATAAATTCATTTCTGTAGTCACACTGACATGGACCTAATGATTCAAAAATAACTCATTCAATTTAGTTCTTCTTGTGTCTATTTGTTTCCTGTATTTTGATTTTTGTATCTGTTTCCTGTTTCCTGTATTGAATTAATAAATGTGTTTCATTCATTCAACTGGGGCCTAGGTAAAGTTGTTGTTAGGGTTATTAAGTTTGTACCAACAATCATTCTAAACTGTCAATAATAACAATCATGTTTGAAGCCTAGTGAGACATTTGAAAACTCAAATGTTGCAGTTATTAACAAACGAACAATTATTCTTAACTGTCAATAATAACACACAAGTTTGGAGCCTAGAGAGGCACTCACAAAATCAAATGTTGCAGCTATTAACAAATCAACAATCATTCTAAACTCTTAGCAATTGCACACAAGTTTGAAGCCTAGTGAGACATTTGCAAAATCAAATGCTGCTGCTATTAACCAATCAAAAGTACATTACCTGGAACAAACGGTATTTTCATTTTTCCTCGCTCTGATTGGCGCATGGTGTAAGCTGGTGATGCTGGAAAAACAAGTTTATCACCAGCATCTCGATTATAAGCTGCTGGACCGGGCGATCGATCGTCTACTTTATCATCAAATCTCTTTGCTGTCCCGATCTTCGGAGCCAAATTGCTGTCCTTCCCTTGATTAGTCACTTTGCAAATAGCGTTGATATCGTAGGCTCCTGGTCCCGGTCCAAAAGTTGTGTCTCTCCACTTCAACCTATCATAAAGCATATTAGTGTTACGATTTTAATTGACACCTCCTAAAAGAGAGAAAGGCTTACGCACGGATCAATTTAGTAAGCCGACGTAACGAACATAAACTGCGCAGTGGAGGTTGTAATAATAAGAAAAATTTCACCACGTTCGGACTACTAAGCTACGCAATGGAGGAAAATACAAAAGATGGCATTAAGTTTGGATTACTAAGGGATCGTATTTGAAGTTAATGGTAACCCGTGCAGAGGCCTTCTCTCTTCTGAGATGTATTACTTTAACTATCTGCCAAACACTTGTATCTTAGTGTTCCATTGCGTAAATCACAGTAGGAACAATGATACTTAATAGTTTCAACAATGCTTTCATTTTAATCATAAAGTTTGAAATCAGCTTCATGCAGGGCAGCTATTTTCAAACATTTTATTTGGTTGTTTCGAAAATTAATTTTATTTTAAGACTTGCTAGCGAAAAAGTTTCATTTATTCTGAGTAGTGATTTTTGTTCGGTGCCTTTTTAAGTATGGAAAGTAAAAAGCTGCACTTTAGGCTTATTTTACTTTTATACTATCATTAAGGTAAAAATAATGTTCAAGGAAGTACACCAAACCCAATTTGGTTTGCGATATTTCGATCCGGCAATTTTGATGTTGCAATCCACCACGTTCTGGAAGGCCAATTGAAATTGATGAAGACACAATAAAGGCATTATTTATGCAAATTAGTAAATAACAACTCGTGAGATTCCTAAAAGAATAAATTTATCGAATTTGACAATTCATGATCATTTGAAGCGCTTAAATTTAACATCAAATCACGACACATGGGTTTCTCAATGCTCTTACGATAAACAATTTGTGTCATCTTATTAACATATGGGATTTGCTTCTCAAACGTAAAGAAAATTGTCCATTTTTGAAGGGCATCACCACTGACCACGAAAAACAGGTTGTCTACAACAATCCAGTCTTTTAAAAAAAAAAAATTTGGACGGTAAAACTTTTCTATCGAAGGAAGAAGCCTGAAATCACCTAAATCTTTTTTTTTTTTTTTAAACAAGAAACAAATACTTTAAGAGCGTGAACTCACTCCACTACCAGAAGATAAGATGACAAAAGTCATTGGACCAGAATGGGCAATATATAGTTCAATAAAATATTTATTCACTATAAGAAAAAAAACATCGAAACACAAAACAAAAGGGAGATACTTCCGTATCGTGATCTGTTGAGGCCAACTACAATCGCCAAGATGCCAAATAGATTTTAAACTCGCAAATTTTTTTTAGAAAAACATGTAGATGTTTGCCCGGAAGTGGCTACAAGTTATACCTTACGAGTTGGTCCCTTTGTGGGATGTTTTTTTTTTCTTTTTTTTTTTTTAGTTTCTTGCCNCTGCCCTGAAGTTTCCAAGACTTGGCGATTATTCTGCCACAGATCACGATACGGAAATCTCCCCAAAAAAGCTTCATTCAGGTATTCAGGTTACAAAATAAACGATTTTGAAGTTCTTGAGGAAAAAAACAAGACTCGTGATTATTTTTCAATATTTCTCTTTGTCCAAAAAACGGTACTTTTTCATTGTCTGAGTACCAGATCAATGCTCCCTTGCGTATGTTCTCCGCAAGTTCTGTTCAGAACTGCTATGTGATTAGCCATGGTTGTGAGATGTGTGGGAAACTTAATATTATTCTGTAGCAACAGGTTATAATTGCGTTGAACATACACACCGGAACGTGTAGTATGGTGTACGGCAAGCTATTGTGCAAAATCTCTCTTATAATATTTCAACACTTTTAATCAATTTATTAACAGAAGTAGCATATGCGTAACTTCTATGTAATTTTCAATTCAAATTTCGCTTAACAAAGTTGTATTTTTCTCTCATTAAAAGTAAATCATTAATTTAAAATTCTCATACATACCTCTGACCCATTTTATAGCTGGGAGCTCTAGTTTTACTTGGATCATGCCCTTCACTTCCTACATTGAAAATAAATAGCATCAATTATAGATTATAGGAATTATTTTAAGTATGGCAATTTTTTAATATTTTTAAAGATTACTTTATACTATTAGTACTTTTATACTTACAATTAATACTTTGCAATTACAATTAGTACTTTTATACTTAACTTTGATAAACCGCTAGGGTAGTTAACTTTCATAAACAGCTAGGATTGTCTAGTTGGTAGGGTGTTGGGCCCATGTCCGAAATGTCGTGTGTTCGAATCATGTCTACCGAAGTCTCCCGTCTATCTTTTTTTTATATATACTAAGTTCAAACAGAAAAATTTTTGACAAGTTTTTATCCTAAAAAACAAGGATTTAAACAACGTTCTTTTTTCTTTTATTAATTGAATCAATTTTTTTTTTGCTATTAACGAACAGCTATTGTAAAAATTTTCGATGCTCTATCGATAAAAACTAATTGGTTTTGAGCAAAATATTTGCTGGGGGTATTTTGGACATCGTCAAAATTTCCAAGCTTTTCGAAACGATTTCTTTTAGCGATAGGAATAATTGGAAATCCGATGGCACAACATCGGATGTGTAAGACGGGTGCGGTGATACCTCCCACCATAAGAAATTAAATTTTATACAGGGTAGGCATACCTGGTCGATAAGATGTCAGGTGGATCAAAATTACCGAATTTCAACTTATAAAACGAACTTTGGCAATGTCCAATGCACTTGGATAAACATACACAAAGTTAGAAACTGTAACTGCTTACCCCAACAATACGAACAAANGTACTAGACCAATCAGCTTTTTGTCAAATTTCTTCAAAGGCATTTTTATAATTTTATGAAATAGTATTGCAATTGAAAGTCTAATAGCAGAGCTTTAGATCAGTATGCTATACATGTAAAAAGGTTTTAAAACTTTAGTGGTAAATGACTGCAAAAGTGATTCCTATACTTTTTGTTACCCTGTAGAAACTGCAACTGCTTACTCTAACAATACGAACATATCAAATAGGTAGTATAACACTGAACCGAGGAATCAGCAAAATCTAAATTAATCTAAATTAGATAAATAAAATAATACATGGAAAAATTATGCTTACATGAATTTAAATACCATAAGAAAAATTACAACTAACCTATTGTGGATGGTAAATTAACAATTGCTGGCCCTGGGCTGCCTGACATCGCTCCAATCGGACGTAAAGGCTTCGTTGGTCTCCACTCCCCTTGATACACATAATAACTCAGATAATCTTGATTTGAGGGCTGTCACGAAATAAGGAAAAATCAAAGGGGGAATTTAAAAATAGTAATAAAATTTTTTAAAAAATTTAAAAATGTATAAAAAAAGAGACATTAATTAGATTTTTGTTCCATCTAATACTAATAAGTCAATGGGGTACTCTCACCTCGACAAGAAAACAGCTGATGCTACAACCACCTAACCGGTAATCGCAGTGCCAGCCGGTTGCTTATAAAAAAAGGTGGCAGAATAACGTTACAGGCGTTAAATGATGTAAGTGGAATCTGTAGGGGTCACAAAGTCTTCCAAGTTTCCATACCTCTGAGGGTACTGATCTAGAAGTTCCCTTGTCTTCTGAATTGGATTCATAATTGCAAGGCAACTGAATTGAACATTGGTAATCTTAAACTTAAATTTGGGTCAACTATTCAACGATGGTTATAAAATAAAATGAAATAAAAAGTTTTCCCGTTAGTAGCCGGAAAACTTAGGTCATTGAAATTTAAATCTTCATCGGGTACGGAGCCCTAGTTGAAATGTAAACATTGTAACTTGTTGGAAAGTGGTCAAAATTACTGTTGGCGATAAATTCTACCTGTAGTGGATAAAAAAAAAACTCTAAAAACTTGTATTGTATTCAGACATAGAGCTCCAGTTGAAATTTGAGAACTCTAGCTAGACGGAAAGTGGCAGAAATTTTAATTACAAGATTCTACTCTCTCTCTGACAAGAAAATGAATTTGGTAAAGCGTGGTTATAAAAAGTGGCTTGAGAACGAATAAAATGCATGTTCCTAAAACATTGCCTTCGGAGGCTGCTTTCTAGAATCTTTGCAAAGATTGTTATCCTTTATAACTTCATCATCATTGGCACGACAGTCTGTGGTGGGCCTTGGCCTACACCAGAACATTTCTCCTGTGCAGTTTTGTCACCAGAACTTGCCAGTTCAATACTCTGGTCATTTTGAAATTCACGTCCAGCCATTGAAGTTTGGACTTCTTTTAGCTCTTTTACCAATTCGTTCGTTTTAAAATCTTGTGTTGGGTTAGTTGTATGATGTAAAAAAAAACCAGTGAATCTCATTCTGTTTTAATTAAATCAAATTTTGTTAAATAAATATTTATATGTAAAATACATAAAAAGGGAACACAATCCTGATTCGCCCTCCTCGGTCACAGTTCTTCTATTGGCTTTTCTTGCCCTGTTTTTATTCTTCTTCTTTTTTCTCTCTCGGCGACAGTGGTTTTTCTAGTTCTGTTTCTCATCTTCATTTTTCGTCTTTGCGTTTTATATTTCAAATCACTTTTGTTTCTTCTCATACGAGTCTAGTCGTGAAAATGAGCGTCCATTTTTGAAACGCTTGCAACATGTCGACTGTGACTTGTTAGTCACATATTTTTGAAGCGAATTAAGTTTTTAATCAGGTAATAACTTACTACTTCAGTATCTTGGGATTATTTATTTAACACTGAAGATAGTTTTATCTATTTTTATGCGTAAAAATTATTTTAAAAAAAAAAAAGAGGTGAATTGACATAGTTAATAAGACAGAATTTTCAAAATCAATTTTAATTGTCCACGTTAAGGATGTTCGTCTTTTCTTTACGCTGTTAAATATTAATTCAAAGACTTCAACTATGACTGAGAGTTATTTTACGATAAAAATTTTAAAAATATTTATTGTAAGCTCTCTGACAACGCAGGTTCGAATCCCAGCATTTGACATTCACGTTCACTTGCGAATATTCTGTGCAAAGCAAATAAAACGATTTCGGTCCTCTTTAGGACAGGCGCACGCAACCAAAAGGATGCCAAGAACTTTATAAACTATAATTCCAAATCTTTCTATTACGTATTGCTTATATGAATTATTCCTACTGGCCCATTTTTATCGGAGCAGTCATGAGAAATTTCTACGTGTAATGTTTGTTGTCAACGTATTATTTCTCAGGAGCTTTTCAACCGATTTCTTACTTTAAAGATTTTGTTATTGAAAATTACATAGCAAGATTTGGACAGGAATGTTATTTGGATACAGATATAAATGAGCCTATAGTTACTCATCCATAAACAGATGGAGTATCTCTCAAACAGAGCATGTCTAATGAGAGGAAAGTTTATCAGAGTTGACTGCTTATCAGTAAATTATTTTGATCAGTAAAAGAATTTTTTTTTTCTGATTTAAAAATTGTTGAAAAAACTTTTCCGTATTCAGGCATTTATAATTTTTAAACCTTAAATATTAGGTTTTTAGTCTAAATTTAAGATGTTTAGGGAATTAACCATATTCACTATCAAATAAATATTCAAAATATTATTAATCCTATGTTGAGCTAACGACAAAAGCCTTGACGAAAATTTAACTAATTGAAACATTACGGCACATTTACAGCTAACGTTTCTGTGTTATTCAATTGGCGAAATCTGCATCTTTGGAATACCAGAAAGTATGAACCTATACTGCCAAAGGAACTAGATTTACACTTATGAAAGAAAAACATCATATACCAGAGGATACTGTTCAATCTCACTAGCCAAAGACATCGGTTTTTCAGATGTTTCCTCCTCTTCTTTGTGAAATACAAATTTTACCTTTCCCTGCGCTTCCGTTTCAGATGCTTCTTTCCTTCCTGTTAGATGCTTCTTGCTAGCCAAAGTCATCTTTTTATCTTTTTCAAGTTTCGTTTCCTGTTCTCCCTTCTGATATACAAATTTTACCTTTTCCTTTTGGTCCATTCCGGAGCTTTCAGGTGCTTCTTTCTTTCCTGTTTTACCAGCAGAAGTCATCTTTTTATCTTTTTCAGATATCGTTTCCTGCTCTTCCTTCTCAAATACGAATTTTACCTTTTCCTTTTGGTCCATTTTAAAACTTAATTTAGAATTAAATTATATAAAAAAATTTTTGATTGATATCTAACACATAATCTGTTACTAGAGAATTTTGATTTGATGTTTTGTTTTTTCACGAGTTGAATTTGAATCAAATAAGATACGTAATTTTATAATTATACCTCATATTTTTTCTAGAAATTACATTATAGCTTGCATGTTAAATTATACTAACGCTTGAAACCAGCACAGCATTTTAAGAGATAATTTTCATGACGTATGGGGCAACGATCACCGAAACTGGGCTTCTTTTATTTATAGGTGCCCTTTTGAAACCTGGCATGAAAAATCTATTGTAATTTAATGGCTATTATCAACAAACGACTGAAATGATTGCATGTCTATGAATCTTGCCCATATCTTTCTGTCTATACTGATGTCCATTAACGACTAGAGTTGTGGTTTTCTATTATCTGAGAATAGGGTACCGGCGAATTACGTATTGTGGGTAGCTAGATCTTGATTGATTGTTGAAACATGACATTTGTTTACGTTAGCAGCTGCTCTTTCCATTCAAGTAAGCCAAGCCCGTCAAGTAATAATTATCTTAAATAACACATACTATATTCTTTCACAAAGATTTCAATTATTTCACCATATATTTCGTACACGCTTACAATAAAATACATAAACAAATTATAAATCTAAGTTAAGTAAAAGACGTAGACAAGAAAGAATTATAATTTAACAAATTCGATGTGCGATCAATTAACTTCTCGTTAACTAATAACATTCTAACTTAGGATGAGAAACTTAGTTCGACTTAAACACGCCATCTAGTTTATAAGCGATTAGCTGAGGTCATAGGTCACGTGTCTGTGTATCAGTGACCATCTTCTTCTCGAGTTGCACGTACCCAATTCAAAGTCCTACAGGAGAATGGAGTCAGTCTGATTGCACTTGGTTTTTTATGCAGATCCCTTGGCATCTTCAGAAAAAAGATTTTAGGATATGCTTTCCTGAACTCTCAGAAAAAAAGATAAATGTGTATTTTGAAAAAGTTCTTCACGATGTTCTTCAAGTAATCCTCGAAGTAAACATACGTCTGTCGAGAAATAATCAGTGTAAGTTTTAACCATAAATGGCGGAAAGAGCTGTTAAGGCATTGTTTCTGTTTGTGTTTTAAATTACCTTGACGAGACAGGTTTCTAAATTACTTAACAATAAAAAAGACGTAAAGGAATAGATAGTGAGTTGAAAATACCTTAGCAAGAGCGACTTCGTGCATCCAAGAATTAGCGAAGAAAAAACAATTACATACATACTATTAAGCAAAAAGTGAAAACAATATTTAAATTATATGTTTTCTAATAATTGCAGTATTTATATTTTGCTCAAGCAATTAGTTTATTGATTTAAAAAAAATAATTTTGAAACATTTAAAGAAACAACTTCTCTATTGTTCCGCATGAGAAAGTAAAAAATAAAGCACTTGGAGTAACTTAATTAATAGTATCAGTTATTTTTCCAGATATAATCTCCATTTAATGCAAAGTTTATCTCAAAATTTGTTGGTAAAGTTTTTAAGAACAGCAAATGAAAAGTCAGTGGTTTATTCATTGCTATTCTTGTTATTCGAAAATTGCCGATTTTTTGTCTGATTTTAGTTCAGAACTTATTACCCATTAGCAAAATGGGTGTTGTTTTGGGTTTGATGGGGTACGCACCATATTTGGACGTTATCACACTTTTCAACTACGTTCAAGAGTAAAAGTAAACAGCTCGCATGCGCCGTCATTGCATGCGTTGCTATAGCGACAGCTGCTGTTTGATGATTTATTTAGAATTCTTTTTTTTCACTTTTAATTTTGTTATGCATTAAGTTGAATTTATTTCTGATTACCAGAGATATCCCTTTAATACTTCTTCAGTTGTGAATAAAAGAGAATTTCATCATTTGAATGAAATATTTGCTTTTATTGTTTTAGTTAAGAATCAGAAATTCTAACCAACAGTTCAAGCTGAATCGTTTCCAATAATAATTCAGGTGAATATCCCAAAAAAAAGAGTGTCAAAAAAATTAGACAACAACCATTTTGCCAATGGGTAACCTGTGATCACCTTTCGGCGATCACAATTTTTTATTTTTCTTATTTTAACAAATATTTCAATTCACAATTATTTCAATTCTCCTTATTTCAATTACCGTTAATTTTAAATTATTTATTTCTATAGAGATGCCCAAGTCAGAGGCTGAATTAAATCAGCGTTCCAATATCATTCAATCAACATTCGTATTCCTTTCCCAATAGAATCGTATCCCAATTGGTTGCATTTGTAACTGATTGATCATTGATGGATTTTCAGTGGACAGGTAAGTGAAATGACGTCAGCTTAGACATCTCTATAGAAACATATTTTAAAAGCTCAATGGGATACCTGCAAGTGACATTGTGTGGGTATCTCGATCCTGATTAGTTGTTAAAAAGTGGTATTTGTTTACGTTAGCAACTGTTCTTTCCATTCTAATTCGAGTAAGCCAAGCCCACCGAGTGTTAATTCCCTTAAATGACACATTTTATATTCTTTCACAAAGATTTCAATTCTCACTACATATTTCTTGCTTAACACAAAGACAGGCACGAAGCAATGTGGAATATTAACTAATTATGCATCGAAGTTGCCAGGTACACAAAATAAAAATATACCACGGTTACAATAAAATACATAAACAAATAATAAAAGACGTAGAAGAGAATGAATTTTATTTCAACACATTTGATGTGCAGCACTGTATTTAATTAACATTCTAACAAGTGTTGAGAAACTTAGCTCAACTTTAACACACCATTTTGCTTATAAACGATCAGCTGGAGCTGACATCATAGGTCACATGCGTAGGTATCAGTGATCTTCTTCTTCTTGAAGTGCAAGTACTTAATTGGCTACTTGCAACTCGAGAAGTGAAATGATTATGTCTAACCATGATATTTAAATCAGATCACAGAAGAGTTTGGGGAAAGGCCACTTTGGGTTTGAAAATGTATGTTAGTTTGAAACGAAAAAGACTACCTCGAATGATTCTGCCATCTTGAGAAAATAATGAGACATTAAAGTTTTTCTTTTTCCTTCAAGGAGTATTGTAAATAAAATTTACTTTACTTTAAAAAATTTTTTACTTTTTTTATTGAGAGAACCAAACTTTTTTTTTTGTTTTCAAATAAAAAATTGCAAAATAATCCTTTATGATGGAGAAAATAAGTTACTCTCTGGTACTAAATCTTCAAACCATAAGATTAAATTACTTGAAAACTTTGTTATGACATAGACTTATAATTATATATTATAATTGTATAATTTTATTAACTAAACTTATAATTGTATATTATATAATCATTATAAATAAATAATTATTATTAATAAATACGTGATTATTACAAATAATTGAAGTTTTATCTAACAGCAGGGATGAGATTAGCCAAAAGGTAAAAAAGCTGAATTTCCACGATAGTAAATTTTACGCAAGCACAACCCTTTAGTAATAAATTCTGGACAGTTTAAGGTAATAAATAATGTGTTGACATACAATTGTGTACTAATCTATTATTAAATAAATGACTACATTGATACTTAACATTTAGTGAAAATAAAAATTACTAATTGAAAAAATAAAGCTGGAAATTATATTTTTCCTCAGTTCACATAAGAGACAATTATTACTTGAAAAACCACCTGGTTTAGCAAACTAAAACTACTGAGAATATACATTAATATTTCATTTCTTTTAATAAATACTGTTATGTGATTTATAGCAAATATATCAGTAATATTACTTTTTAAATTATATTGGAAAAAAAAACTTTAACAATGGACCGAATCATTATGTTCATATTGTAGTCTAACTAGAGCACTCTGAAACATATCGATAACAGGGAAGTAGAAATATATAGTAACTCCTTAACATACAAAAATTGCTATTTTAGTTTGAAAAATTACATGACAATCAGCAACTGTTTAAATAATTCTTTTTTATTTGATAAGACTTTTGCATTTTATAGCATAAATAACAGCAATTAAAAATAAAATTTTGATGATGAGTGAATAAACTCTTTTTCCAAAAAAAAAATTTAATTAAATCCCTTTTTAAGTGATTGCTTTTGTTTGCTATATCTTTTATTTTTGCTATATTTAGTCGTTAGTCCATCTTCAAACATCTTGTGACAAATCCTATTTTTTCTTCTTTGCAAGCACAGAATGTAAGTTTTGAATATATTCCCTTCCAGTTTCTCTCATGTTGTAATACTTACATATACTAATAATCGTCGTTTGAAAAACACTTTCTTTGGAATAAAACAGGCGATGGTATACAGTCATCAGCTGTGCAAATATTCATTTAAAAAACTTGCCTATCAGAGAACAGATTTCCACCTTTCTTGTTATCCTTGCTAAAGAGCAATAAGCCGTTGCCCATAACATAGATGAAAATATCAGTCATTATTATCTTCAACCAATATCTATCAAAATTATTATCACCTTTTTTAAAAAAAAATAATTTTCAAATATTAACAAAATAAAGAATACTTTTATTTAATTTTAATTATTATGTACAAAAACAGCATCCTATTCATTGCAATGAATGATGTTATCTGCTGAACATTAAAAATAAATTAAATGATTTAAAATCTTTAATTTTAATAACAAAATCACTTTGCAAATGGATTAGCATGAATATTCACAGAGTTCAATCTTATATCAGAAACAGGTCGAAATGTTTTTGGATTCACGGGTAGTTTTTCTAATTCATCCAAAGTGTCTAAGCCATCTATGACTCTGAAAAAAATAAATAACTCTATTTGTAATGGAAATTTAACAACAAAATGTCACATAAATTTTAAGTCACTGTAGCAAAATATTTCGTTCACTTAGAAAGGTATGTACAATACGATATTACCAATTAAAAGAAAGATACAAAACATTGCTGTTTCTATACCACTCATAATGAAATATAAAACTAAACTCAGTGGTGCGACCGTTAGTAGAAGGCCAACTGTGCCTCTAATTATACGCTCTACTCAACAAAAAGAGAGAAACAAGTTTTTGTGATGTCTTTATAAAAACTATTTTTACATTTATCAAATGCTGTTAAAATTTTTCGGTAAATTAAATAAATTCCCTTACATCAAAAGTAAAGGGCTTTAAAGAAGTTTTTACATGCACAAATAATTAAAAAAAAAAAAGGTTTATTCCCAATGGAAAAAAAATTTAACTAAATTTAGGAATAAACTTTAACTAAACTTGAATATATTTTACTACATTTAGTATTATACTTCACTTTACTTTAAAGTTATAAATTGAACAGATATAAAATAATATGATTTAAATAAAAACATATTTTGCATGATACTTTTAAATGTTTTTTTTTTAATTAGAATCAATTTTAGGGGTAATTATCTTCATATTTTTCATGTCTTTTGTAATTAACAATATAATTTAAAAACTAGAACTTTTAAATAAATAATTTTAAAAATTAATGCTCAAAAGAAATCTTACATTAGACTAAAATTTCAATAAAATAAATGTAATTTATTCATTTAAAAATTAAAAAATTTAATTATTTTTTCTTATAAATTTTATTTAACTCCACATTGAACACACACTATTTACAATAGCTTATGAGTCATTACAAAAAGCTAATAAAAGAACTCTTGAGATCACTATATAAATTTTATTTTTAGCAATGAAATGCAGGAGTTTCATGCTGATATATCTAATGAGCAACTTATAGCTACTGGTAATGGTATTTTTACTAATATTGCTATTAAAATGATTGCATGCCAATTTTATATTAGAATTGATTAAAAAATACGCGTATAGATATTTTTAATAGTGCAAAACAAATTAACATGCTCTAATCAAATAAAGATGAATTTAAAAAAAATTAGTGCAATGACACAACTTACACAAATCATGAAAATATGATTTATTCTTAGCATTTAAAAACATTAATTATATTTTAGGAAATTGTTTTGACTTGTTGTTGCTGTTGTTGCTAATTCCCATCTGGTCTGACGGGGTCAGACCAGATCAATGAATCCGTTGATATTAAGAAAATCCGAAACCAGAATGGGAGAGGAATGAATGTCGTTCCAGTCCAGCCCCTAAAAGTTCCAGATGTGCTCAGGTGATGCCTGGTTTTGTTGGCATTTAGGGCAAAGAAGAAAAATCTTTTGATTTGCAGAAAATGTGAGACTTTTCAGGTGTCTACTGGCCAGTCGGGATAAGCAGGTGTTGGTTTGCCTGTCACCAGGGAGAGATAGAGAGAGTCCTGGTCTTTTTGCTTTATACCAGTAGTGAATGGGTGGAATGTTTTGACTTACAAACCATAAACATTTTTATATTGATATAACTTTAATTTTTAAAAAAAACTGGAATTATGAAACAAAATTTAATAATAAAAAACAATTAATATGTGTTTATGAAAAGTTGTAATGAAGGTTTGAATAAAATTATTGGTTTTTAAATTTTTCATATTTTATTCAGCACAAATAATTAGCACATTTCAATAACTTGTACATTTTTAAAAATAAACTGATTAAAAAAAAGATACTCTCATCATCCATCAAATTCGATGATTTTTTATAACAATAGAGATGTTAATAGCCCTTATTTGCTATGCGATTGATTTTAAGAGAAAAACTGTTAGCAAAGTCTAAGAAATTAAAGAAATACAAGTTGAATGACTCTTTTGACTTAGTTACTAAATTAAAGAAGTATTTAATTTGTTGTTGATCTTATTTAAATTAGTTCATTTCTTTTAATATGATCTAAAATCCTTAATATACATTTCTATGTGCTTAAATAATATTTTCTATTTAATTTTCTATAAAAAAAATACAATTATAAAATTTAAATCTAATTTACCTACAATTTCAATTACACTAACAAAAAAAATGTGTTTTAGAATAAATTGGCATTACATATAAAATTTTGCTGATTTTTATTAAGAAAGTAAATTTATTTTCAAATTTGTTAATATTATTTATTCGCATATGGTTAATTCAACATAACTGAAATCTGTGGAGATTGAAGAAACACTTAGACTTAAGAAAAGTTTGACTTGCTTTAGATCCCCCTTTTCACTTTTTAGTATATAACAAATTTGGATACCTTAATGCATTTGTTAAATATAAAAGTTACAAATTTCAGAATCAACAAAATTTAAGAAAAATAAAAGTTAGTCTGAAATTCATATTTCTGTAAAGAAATTTATAATTTCAAAGGAAGTATTAAGTAAATTTCACTTCTTAATGGTAGATAGAACAACTGGTAATATTTTAGCCTTAAAGGCTGATATTATCATCATATTTATTTTAGCTTACACCATTACCACCCAACCAAGGCCAAACACCTAGTCCCATTTTTAGAGCTCTATCTTAGAAATGGTAGGACAGACATAAGTGTAAATGACATGAACACTTATTTTCTCAAAAATTATTAGAACTGCTCTAAAAAATTTCTAAGCTATATGTTATAAGCTTTTAAAATTTGAAAATACAACATTTATAAATGGTGGAATTGCCCATGTCTGTTTGTCGTTGCTCCCCATAAATGAATTTAACTACTCTTCCAATACCATTCTGGACTATTTATTTCATTTAATAACTTCATATGCCTATTTCTCTTGTTAAATTTCTTTTGTTTTTGAGTAATAATTTTATTTACATAACAATTATAACAAAGTTAATTACTGTGTAAATATGCAACGAAATACATTAGCAATTTGATTGCAAATAACAAATCATTATGATTGGTTATAATACAAAAAGTCTGTAGTTATTCACTTTTGACCTCAAGTTTCATGTTACATTTTACAGACACCAAAATTAAGAATAATTATTCCTTTCTAACAAAATTTTATTGCAATTTCACCACTTGCATAATTGATAGCTAATCATTTCTGATATGATTCCATTCCATATTAAAATATTTTGTAGATTACTTAACAAGCTATGAATTTTTTTTACAGATGTAGTGATAGTGATGTCTCGTCATATGACTGAAGCTTAGGATGAAAATTTAGCCTAAAACAAAGAAATGAAAGAACTGAAAAAAGAGAGACAAGGCTGAAAAGAAGAGAAGGTTTTCCCTATTTTTTTTTAGAAGACTACTCACGGCAGTTTTTTTTAAAGCAAAAACGAATTTTGTTATTATGGTGATGTAGTAATATATGATAATTAGATGATTACCTTATATGACTAAGAAAATGTTCCTTATATAACTAAACTATTGGAGGACCCAAAACAAAGACTAGTATGAACAAAAATAAAGTTGCATGTATGGCTAGGGTCATATTCTTGTATGGCATAACTTTTGGAATAACACTTGACCAAAAACAAATATCCAAAAAGAAAGTTTTTGCTATTTTTTAAAAAGCCTATTCACAGAATGCTTCAAACAAAAATTAACAATTGTTATTTGTTGCTAAAATGCGCGAATATTTTTTTATAAATTAAAATTTGGTGTGTTAAACTTCATCTAATTTTAAAATAAAATATTTTTGTGAGCATAAACGTGGTTCTAATTTAAAATTAAAATAACAAAAACTTTCCTTTAAGTATATCATGAATTGGGCATAAAATAGAATAAAATAAATTTTTCTTTTTCCTTGAAGAAACGCAGCTTTAGTATTCGTAAATAAATTGCAATATAAATATTGAAATAATTTTTTTTTATATTTTAATTCAATATTTGTTTGATATACAAATTAAATTGTTGGTAGCAGGCATGCATCCAGAAATTATTTTCGCCGAAGGACTAGAGTTACACTTTTCAAAACAAATGTTAAGCCTCAATATTCAAGAAAACAGCATTAAATATATTATGTTCATTGATAATTAATTGAAAACCAATTGAAAACTAAATAAATGTTTTCTTCACATTAACTACACTGTCAGAAATTTTGGAACATCTTAAACCATAACATGATTCATCTTTGCTACAATCTCATTACTGTGCAAAGTTGAACCATATTGTCTAAGAAATTTGATTACATGATATGGTTCAACTAGAATAGTAACAGGGCTAAATTTAACACTATATTAAGGTTGCAGCAAAAATTTGAAGCGATAAAATGAAAACCTACGTAAAACAATGCTGCAAATAAAATTAGTGGAAATAGTTTTCTATAATCGGTTTCAAAAATTCCATTGCTTATTGAACTCTAATTCTAACCAAAACCCAATAAAATAAAAACCTAAATAAAGCAATGCTAAAAATAAAATTAATCAAAGCACTTTCTGTAATCAAAAATTTCATTCTTTATTGTATTTGATACTTTACCAAGAGCCTATATAATATAATTTCCATTCTACTCATATTAAATTGTGCTTAATAATTCTTATTTAGAATTAGATGGACTTAATCAAAGAGATCTTTCAATAATATACAGTCAAAAAAAGTTAGGCACAATCAACAGCTAAATATAAATCCAAATAAATTTCATAGCAAAAAAAAATTAGATAAAATTTTATGTCTTACTTTCCAAAAAGAGTATACTTCATATCTAGTTGAGGTTGTCTACTATAGGTAATAAAAAACTGTGATCCGTTAGTGTTTGGACCACTACTTGCCATGGAAATCATTCCTCGAGTACTGTGCTGCAAAAATTATTCGATATGTACTACAAAGCATAAGATGCAAAACAATGCATTTAGTTTAATCTAGCTCAAGCACATGGGTGTTTCAAGGGGCAGGCTTTTGAGGAGGATGAGATTAAAATACACAGATACAATATCATTTTGGAAATTCCTGATTAAAAAAATTAAGACGAACTTCTCCTTTTTGTTAAAGATCTGCAGAATGATTTTTTAAATTTCTTAGCTTGTTTTAAATTAGCTAAATTTAAACACATAACTTTTTTATTTGTCTTAAACATTGGTAGGGGTCTTTTTCAGATTTCTGATTACTATGGAGGACATATTACTAATGGGGGCATTAGTAATATGTTCCAAAGATCCTCATCTTCAAGTGGAATACAGAATCTTTAGCTGAGTTTTAAAATAAAATTTAAAAAGTTAACAGAAAAATCTATGATTTATTTAAGAAGTTAACTTATTTGCTGCATATTTTTATCTTGTGTTAATTTATTGTCGAAATGAGCAAATGGATGTGCAAAGCAGAGAAAAAAAATTTTTCCTCACATCAGTCTCTGACAAATTGCCTTTGGGTTGGGATAGAGAAATTTTAGGATAGCCTTTTTTCTCCTTTAAAGGGGTAATCCTAAAAATTTTCTGCGATGGCAGATACATAATTGGTAGCAGATTTAGTAGTATCTGCACTTGAATGAAAAAAGAAGCATTTTTAAAAAAAGATTTTAAAAAAATTTTAAAAAGTTAAGCAAAAATATTTTTAGAAAAAAAAAGTGGGAGAAAATACTCTAAATATGGAAAATTGAGTAGCAAAATATGAGGATTCTCCCTTTGAAAACCTAAAATATTATACATTCCAATGAAGGGGTAGAAAGGAAAGAGAGATCGAAACTTTTTATATCTTTCTCCAACATAGAATATCTTCATGCCTGTCAATTCAAGGATAATTGTCGACAACTATGGCAGTAGATTAATAACCATACTTGACATTCATTTTGTTCGATATTTTGACTCATAGCATATAATGAAATCTTTAAATTTGTAATTTCTTCAATTTTTTCTTAGAAACATAAAATTTATTTATTTTCCCCTCTAATTTAAACAAAAATTTGGAAAGTCACGAAAGTTTCAGAGCATTATTGAAATTTTTACATTATTAAGGAAGATTTAAGTACATTTTTTTTAATGAAATAGAAGATAACTTTGAGCTCTGATATGATAAAAGAAAAATATAAAATACATGACACCCAATAGATTTAATACAAAAAAAATTTACATACTATTTGTTGTGCATCTACATAGAATATTTATTCCACTAAACAACACTACATGTTTACCCAGTTTTTTAATAATATCAAAATTTAAGAAGTAAACAATAATCTCAGGTGGAATATGTCATCAGAATTAAAAACAGTTTTTTTTTAAAGAAATATTATTAAAAAAAGAGAATAAAATATTATAAGGTATACCTTCAATTCATCCTTAAGTTCATCTTCAAATTTCTTTCCCCAAATACTAAGCCCACCTTTTCCGGTTCCTAAAAATATATATGTATACATAGTAATTTAAGCTAAAGTTTTCCATTCTTGGCCTTTGTCATTATTGATCATGGTTAAAGTAAAAAAAATTATAAACAAGATAAGATAAATTGAATAAATCAATTCAACTACCAATAAAGTATAATTCTTATATCATATTTTCCAGGTAAGAAAAAGAATACAAAATATTTAAATCTATAATAACAGAACTTCCTTCGAAAGAAACGCAGCAGAATTTTCATACGAAAGAATAATTGAAGCAATAAAGAAAAGAGAAAACAATGGAAATACAAATACGGCTACCGAAGCTGACGTCTTTAGGGGAATTTAGGGAAAGTCAAGAATTACAAATGCATACAAATTATAAAACGCATACAGTTTTAATAAATATTTTTATTTTTCTTACTATTTCGTAATAGTCAAAAAATTTTGAACTGTAAGGTACATAATTTTTTAGACCAGAATGCAATTTTAGATAGCAAAATACAAAATTTGATTGAAATTTGATGAATAGTTCTAGGAAAATCAAACTTTTAAAACTTTGTATTTTTAAAATTCGATCTCTCAGGATCTACTGGATGCTTAAATTTTGTATTTTGCCATTTAAAAAATTGCCTTCCTTAAAATGATGCAAAAAATTTTATATCTTACTATTCAAAATATTTTCAACTATCATTGAAAAAATATATAAAATAAATAATAAATATTTACTAAAAGTTATTTTTTGCATGAAATTATATTTGAATAAATGAATTTATAATTCTGTGCAAAAATTTTTCAATTAACTTGAAAACTTTGCAAGATATGGCAATAGACGCATAAAGTAAAATTAACATTACGGGGTTCAAACTTTGGACCGCTCTCTGGATCAAACTATTCAGACCATATTTCCGAGATTACGGCTATTGTGATGGTCATCAATCTGAATCCGTTTCTTATTCAAAGAAAGTACGTTTCTGATTTAGTAACTTTAGATATCTACACTAATAAATCAGCATAGTTGAAGTCATCCCTTTGAACTATTAAGATTGAGTCATAAAAAGTGAACATTATTAGATCCAAAGTTACTCGGGGTAATCCATTTTTATTTTATGCACTGCACATTATATTGATATGTTTTTATGCAAAAAAAAGTGAAAATTTAGTTCAAAGTTTATAATACTTCATAATAATTAATATTACTTAATAATATCATATAATATTCCCACACTAAAAATATATTTAAACAAAAGAATTGTTCATCAAAAATATACCTGTTGGATCTCCAGTCTGTATAATAAAACCTTTAATATTTCTTAGAAAAACACAGCCATCATAATAATCACTGGCACAGAGAGCCAAAAAATTCTAAAAAATAAATACCATAGATTACTGCTCAGAATTAAAATATTTATTAATGAAATAACTTTATCAAACATTGCAATTCAGAGTATACTGAAACTGCAGAACATTTTGCTTTATTAATTTCAAAGAGTTTTCCAATTTATTTTTGGAAAAAAAATTTATGAATAAGATGTAATCATTAAATAAAATGCTCACAGTTGTTTTTAAAGGTCTGAAATGTCTGGTTATCAACTTGGATTAAATTCAGTACAATAATACAAAACAAAGAAAGAAATGGATATGTTTATTATTTCTATGGTGTTTAAATTTACAAAATATATAGTCACATCAAAAAATAAATTTTATTTTATGTTGGTACTATGAAAGAAAATAAAAAGATATTCTATGATGTACGGTAAAAACTCCTATATTGTTTTATATTATTTATAAAAAAAAAAATTTTAATACAAACAAACAGTGAGCCTTCAAGGGACCGAAAATTTGGTCCACTATAATCTGGAGTTCAGTATATCCGTTCCTCAGACAATTTAACTAATGGTTCCAAACTCCTCCTTTTATTATACATTATTTAAATAAATGACTGAAAAACAATATGTAGTATAAAAAAATGTGTTAACTTTTATTTTCATTGCAAATATTGGCTTGATTACATCTATTTTCAATTTTTCTGTTTATGTCCTATCTTATCTTAAATGAAGAACGTTTTATGTTTACTGCTCGCCAAAGTTTAATTTGTGACAGTTATTTGCAGGATTCTTTAACCGAACAGAGAGTAAAAACGAGTTGAAATTAGTGCCTTTCACAGATTAGTGTCCACCCCTTTGACCATTAATGAATAACTACGCATTCCAATGCGCTCTCTCTCATAGAAAATAAATATTGACCCCACTGGCCCCTTACAGTTGCAACATCTGCTGGTGTTGGCCTTTGTTTAGGGATGGGAAAGTGAGATAAAAGAAGCAAACAAGAAAAATGTTTATTGCTATATTCCATGCAATACATGGTTTTAAATCGGTTTATGTATTTATCATATTAGGCATATGTATTTATTATATCAGGCAATTTCTTAAAAACTACATAAGATTTGTTGAAAATTATATCACTGGTTTAGACAAAAATAAGTACTTTTAATGAATTTTGTAGTTCATAAACATATATTTAAGCTCCATTCAAAAAGTTAATTTATAATCATAGTTTAAAATTATTGTAAAGATTTCTAAGCCAAACTATTTGTAAAATTATATGTGACGAGCCAAAAAATGATAGTTAATTTTGTATAGTTCATATATTTTAAGCCGCAATAAAAAGGTTAATTTCTAATCATAGTTAAAAAAAATTATTGTTCTTAAAGATTTCTAAGCCAAATTGTTTCAAAAATAATATCATGCATTGGGCGAAAATGGAGAAATAAGTTATTTTAAATAATTTTATATACTTCATACACATGTAGTGAAGCTGCATTGAAAACGTCTATTTCTTATGATAGTATAAAATTATTTTTCATCAAGAATTCTAAACCAAACTGTTTCAGAAAAAACAGCATATGTTGAACGAAAAATGGAAAAATTAGTAATTTTGTATAGTTTATATAATTTAGGCTTCATTTAAAAAAGCAAATTTCTAATCATAGTTTAGAATTATTGCTCTTAAAGATTTCGAAGCTAAACTGTTTCAGAAGCTGTTTCGAATTTTTTATAGTTTATATAATTTAGGCTTCATTTAAAAAAGCAAATTTCTAATCATAGTTTAGAATTATTGCTCTTAAAGATTTCGAAGCTAAACTGTTTCAGAAGCGCAGATTTGCGTCTTTATATTTAGCCAAACATCCACTTACATCACAATAATGAATTAATAACTTCATGTAGCTTTTATTTCATGAATATTTTGTAATAAAAATATTAATATAAGCTTGCTTTTAAGTGATTTGAATGAAAAAAGTACAACCCTGCAAAATTACAGTTCTTTTCAATGAAAAGCAGTAGGTAGTACACTAATTTTTTTTTAGTCACTAAAATGTTCATTCTTTTGTTTAAAAATTCTTTGATACTTAAAAGTAATTTTATACACATTCACGTCAATAAGGTTAGCTACCAGAATAACTAATTCACATTAATTTCATTTAAGAAGAATTAATTACTCACATTAATTTCATTTAAGAAAGTTAATTTAATTAAATTAAAAGTGGGCAGACTTTGGATTATATTCCTCAACAAATAATGCAAACAAAACAGATCGTAACATACACAGAAAAAATGAAGACAAAAGTAGACACTGGTGTAAACATGTTGAGACAAAAATCAAAGAAATTGGTAAAAGTACTTTTTAGGATAAAGTACTTTTTCTGAAAATTATGTGAGGCAGAGGCATAACTTAAGTGTTATGCTCCTCTAAGGACTGAAGAGGCTGAGAAGAATGAAACATAGACCCATGATTTTCACAACAAATTTTAAAAATTCACAATAAATAAGAGCAAGTAACATAAATACAGGAAATCATGACATTATTTATTAAAAAATTCAATCTGAAAAGGCAAATAAATAATTTGGTTTAATTTAATATTATAAAAAAAACAATAACTTGTTATTAGAACACCACAAGTGTAACATAAAAATAAATGTAAGTTACATATTTTATTTCTTACCATTTAAATAATTACTGCAATAATACAATAAGTCTCATGAAGTACATGAATAAAACTTCCATAATAATTCATTAAAATATCACAATTAAATTACAGGCCGGGATAACCTGGTTGGTACAACACTTGTGAGGTAAGGAACGAGAGTTCGAATCTAGCCAACCGGAGAACCCCCGTGTATTAAATAGTGACTGGTGCACATTAATGCTGTCCGGCTCACAAAGTCTTAAGTTCCCACAACCGATCAATACCTCTGGGGGTACTGATCCAAGAGTTTCCTTGTCTACTGGATTGGGTTTAAAATTTCGAGGCTACGGAGTTGAACGTTGGTAGTCATAAACTCAAATTTGGGTCGGCTGTTCAACAACGGTTATAAAATAAAACAATTAAATTAAAACTAAATTTTCTCTTTAAAAATAATTCTAAACAGTAATAGATCATAAACTAACCTCACATGCTTTAGGGCACTGTTCACAAAACAGTTCGATTTTCAAATCACCTACATCAGTATGTAAAGTCACAGACTGAAAAAGAATAAATAAATAAATAACAAGCATTAACCCTAGAAAGTGTGTTATTAAAATGTATCAATAACTTTTTTCAGATAAAGTTTGATAAAATTCTGGTGAAAAAACTGCCCCAGAAAAAAATAGGCAACTTCCTAATGCTATATTAAATTTAATTAACATGCTACAAGTAACCAAACTACTGCAGTTGCTACTTTATTTTCGTAGTTTATACTATTGTAATGCACTACTGTTTGAAAAAGGCATTGTTGTGAGTTGTGTAATACCAAAAATAAAATTCTTTAAGATGCGTTGCAATTACTAATGTTATTTTAGTAAGGAAGAAAGATTCAAAGGCTGCAAATTTTTCAAATCTGATTAGTGAAAACCTCATGAAATCTCCGGGACTAAGCATTTTAGAACGAGAAATGAGTTTGGCAAAAATGCACACTCGTGATCAATTTTAAAAGAAAGCATATATGTTATTTCAATTAAGAATATGATATTCTGCTCTGAAACTTTAGATATACACTGCATTTCTGAGAAAAATTAAGTATCTTAAACATTTAAGAAATAATAGACAATTTTACAACATTTTTCAATTAAAAATATACTTTCAAAAAAGGGATATAAGATTGAAAGAAAGTATTCATAAAAGGATATTTCTGTATCATGATCTGTAGCGCTAACTTAATCACCAAGGTGTCATGTAAACTTCAAATTTGCTATTTTTTTTCCTTAAATTTGTAGATGTGTGCTGAAGAGTGATATTTTCCTATCGTGATCTGTCTCGCCAACTACAATCGGCAAGATGCCAAATAGATTTTAAACTTGCAAATTTTTTTTTAAAAAACATGTAGATGCTTGCCCGGGGATGGCTACGAGTTATACCTTTCAAGTTAGTCCCTTTGTGAGATGTTTTTTTTTAGTGTCTCCTTTGCGGCTGCCCAGAAGTTGCCAAGACTTGGCCATTATTCTGCCACAGATCACGAGGCGGAAATCTCCTCAATATAAGAATTGTTAATTCTTTACAATATATCATGTTAAAATAAACCAATTTATTATTCAAAACCATTTTTCATAAATGTTCTCTTTCTATAAAAAACTCTTTTTAATTTTGAACATGAGTGTAAGTTAAATCCTCCGGCTAAATTCGTTTCCTAAAAGCAATAAAGTAATCAATATCACTACATTTTGAAAGTAGTTTCTAATCATGAAATTGGCACACCTGCAAAATCAATAAATAAGTTGCTCAGGATTATTAAAATAATAAATAATATAACACTATATCAAAAACTCTTCTTTTTTCAAAAAATTACTCTAAATTATGAGTAAATTTTACAAACATTAGTTTTATCATATAAAAGCATTCACGTAAACTGTTAAAGCATACGTATAATTAAAATAAGTATTAGATTTTACAATAAAATATGAACAAGCGATGGATATTTGTTAGAAATGTGTATACAGACAGAGTATGGGGGAAATAGCTGGGAAATAATTACTACATCTCAAAAATAATTGGGTTTTTTAAAACGAAATGAAAATATGTTTTTTATATGTTTACCATTTTTTGAAATTTACCAATTGAAACAATTGCCAGACTTACTTTTTCGACGAAAGAAAGTTTAACAGTCTTAACTGTCTATTTCACTAATATGCAATGCCTTATTTTCACGAAAAACATTTCTTAGAGAGTAATTCCTACTGCCTCAAATTTACATATCATTGTGCTAATCATCAATGGAAATGTACCATTGCTGTTATGTTTTATTTTAATTCGCTTTTCTAAAGAAAGTTTTTATCGAAACAATATATAAGTTAATCATGCCATAACATATTTAAAATAGTAACCTTTATGCACGTTTTCTGACTCTGAGTAATCAATTCTATGAATTAAAATAAAATGCATCCTCTTGACTGCTCTTGTGGACACTTGAGAACAATTCTCATTGCTTGTAATTTTTTGTCACGGGAAAATTTCCCACGTGAACGATTGTTGTTGTAGTTCATTTACGTCGCACTAGAGCTGCACAATGGGCTATTGGCGACAGTCTTAGAAACATCCCTGAGGATGATCCGAGGACATGCCATCACAATTTTGATCCTTTGCAGAGAGGATGGAACCCGTGCTTCGGTAGCCTGACGACCTGCACGCGAAGTCGAGCACTTTACTGCAGAACAGTTTAACGAGGACCAATACCGCACACCCTCAGTCCCTATGCAGACTGATCCAAGTGGTTACCCACCCGCACACTGACCGCAGTCAGTGATGCTTGACTTCGGTGACCTGCTGGGAACCGTGTCTTAACGATCAGTTCACTGCGAGACCCCACGTGAATGAATACCAATCGTATGGAAAATATTTATTAGCAAAACCTACCATCAGGACCACATTCACATGAAAAAAAATTTATAGCAACCAATAAAAAGTTTAGTAAAACCTTTATTTTTTTCTCTCTCTCTCTTTCTCATAAAAGCAATCTTTGTAAATTATCATGCCAAATTCTATGTATACACTGAAATTTATAAAAACTCATTTGAGAGTAGTGATAAGTAATGCCGGCCTTTCATCACTATTTTTGGCACTATTGAGAATGATTTTTCAACTTCTTTAGATTTTTCTATTTTAATACACAATTTTGTTGCTCAAAGAGCTATAAAAATTTCGTTATAATTAACTATCCATATTTACAAGCATTATTATAATATTTTCCTTACATTTACTAAATCTTGGATGTATTTTTCCTATTCCTACGATATAATATTCGTATGAATTATTTTAATTTATATTTCTAGATCTGTCTAATTCCATTTCAGTTAATATATCATATAAAATGATATATTACACTCCTGATATAAAATATCAGGAGTGCAATTTTTAAAATAATAACAACAATTCAACTTTTATGTCATGGAAATTAATTATATTAAAAATTTCAATTATTGCCCATTCGTGAGTGTGTGGAGTGCAATCCTTAAGAACTGCCGCAGGTACTGTAAAGAAACAATAAAAAGCAGGATTGGCACGATCAAAAAACATTTAACAAAAAAAGAAGAAAAATCATTGTTTATATGATTCATTACGATTCTTTTAAATCATAGATTTATGTAGAAAATATTATTTATACAGTATTATTTATTCAGTATTGTATTATCTAATGTGTATCTACTTAAAGCTGCGATAATAAATTTACTGATTTCAAATCACATTAATAATAAATGTTTCATTCTTATGATTAAGAACAGGTTAAAAAAAATAAAAAATAATAATAATTTTTTTTTTCTGTTCAAAAACTTAAATGTAGATAAGAATGTAACTTTTAAAACATAATATTTCATTATTCTTTACATGTCATTGTAGTATGTAAAATAATTTGCCGTTCCGCTATCAGTAAATATATTTCAATTATACTCATTTAATTTTTATTCACATTTATTTTAATACAAGTAATTTTAAATCTTTTTAACTATGTAGTTAATGTACATACAAGTAATTAAAAAATGAAGGCTGTTTTTACCAAGAGTAATTTAATTTAAGAATGCTTCTTAATGTAAATAAATTTACTTTTCATTTGACAAATTTATTCTCAGTCTTTACAATTCATTAAGCTTTTGAGTTCGATAGAAAAAAGATAATGGACATTACTTTTTCAGTAATTAGTTAGTCATAATTAAATAATATTATTGATGGAGCTAAAAATTTCAGTTGCAGTATTGTTGTTAAATAATAAATCATTATTTACAGCAGATTATTTACACTAATCGTAAAACGAGAGAAGAAAACTTTTAAAAAATCTGATTGAAATAAAAAGAATCCAATGCTTAACACATATTTTTAAATAAAACTAGATTTTGATGAACTCTGATAAAATGCCTCAATGTTTCGTCCAGGGCCGCTAAGCACTCAGTACGCCCCTGGCTGGTTTCAAAAACTTTATAATAAATTTGATAGTCACATGAAACATCACTTTAACTTTACCTACTATAAATTTCTTCCTGTAATTAAACAGATTTTGTTGCTTTTATCTCGCCTTTTTACGCTAATGGTTCGTCTGGTCTTGAGAACATCATTTTATTTTCTTGCTGAAATATAATGTGCGACCTGATTATTAATTTTTTCTCTAATTTTGAAAAGAATTCTAGAAATATGCACCAATATCTTGCATGTTCTTAAATCTAAGTTCACTTGACAATATAAAAACATTTAAAAGTAGCAAAAATCCCCAGAAAAGCTGTAGAGAGCCGATTATCCGAATGCTGATTTACCAGATTGTCTAATTATCCGTATCGTTCAGGGACCATGTGCTTTTTCAACCTTCTTCTTCTAAAAAAAGGGGGAAGAAAAATAAATAAATATATGAATAAAAAACAGCGAAAATGGCTTTTTTTTTTTTTTTTTTTGCCANTTTTTTTTTTTTTTTTTTTTTTTTTTTTTTTTTTTTTTTTTTTTTTTTTTGTCTTTTTGTGACCCTGAAAAGAAAATCTGGTTCCTTCAGCCCAGGTGGCAAATATTAATTTCTAACAGGGTTTCCAACAAAATTTTTAAAAATTAAACTTTTGAACACAACAATTGTAATATGCTATATATTTGGCATTTCTACGACTGCTAAAGCTAAGACTGGTAATCCCATTCACTAATTATTCTAAATATTTATAAACTTAAAACTCACAAAAATATATAAAGAAAAAATTGTAAATATAATAATTTATATCATATCATAGTGATTGCTAAATAACTAAATAAAAATAATTTTTCCTGTTTAGTAAAGTCATGGTCAAGATTTTAAAATCTCCTCAAGGTTACGGTTCAGTTTCATTTTATTTATTTATTTATTTTAAAACATTACGAATAATAGTGATGCATAAAGTGTGAAACACCATTGTTTAAATTATTTTATTTTTCTATATAATTCTTATCTTGTAATTACAATGAATTTTTCTTTCATTTTAAGCATGTTTTTTTTTTTCATTTTAAGATATGAATTGCATTTTTTTTAATCAATTACATCTCGATATAATGATGTAAGAGAAGCAGAAATTCGCAACGAAGGGAAAGGGGAGGCGGAAAAAAAAAGATTTACTTTTCAGTTTCTGTTGGCGTTTAAGTTTTCACAGAACAAAACATTGATGTTTTGGTTAATTTTGAATGACTAATTCTGTTGTTTATTTGATTTTACAACTGTTTTATTTATTTTGTTCTCTCAAAAAGCAAAACACGGCTTTTAAAAACGAGTTTAACTTTGCTGTATTCGTTGCTAAATTTGAATTTCCGTTATTAAAAATATTTCAATATTTTTGTCCATGTGATAAATAATAAAAAGTAAGAATAATAATAATTTCAAATCATCAATTTTATTATCACATATACTAAGCAGGTAATGCATGTAATATTAAAGTAAAATATATTTAACTGATTTAATTTCATTGACAATTTAATCTTTCAATTTTTGGTTATTTAATATAGCAATTCCCAATTTTTTACGTTTAGCTATGGAACCCTAATTGGTTGAGCTTATTTTATTGTAGTCCCGACATTAGTACAAAAATTTTATTCTTAACATTGAAATCTCTCTATTATTCTATCAATAGTAGTCTTAAAATTATGTTTAATGTTTGGCAGTTGGGTTCACAAGTCTGGATCGGCTTCTAATAAAATTCTCAATTTGATTCTGGTGTATGCGCAAGATGAAGTTGAATTAAATAAGATAAATTTTAATTTTTCGAAAAGTAATTGTCCTAAATTGAGAGAATCGTTATAATTTTATTTTGAATCACAAAGTTCCATGATGCAGTTTTTTCGTAAATGCGTAATTTATTCAATATATTGTTATTAAGAATTTTTTTTTTTAAATTTGCTTATTTTTTTATTGGCATTTTACTCAAATAATTTCAGAATAATTTTTACTAAATTATGAATTATTGGTCAGATATAAACGTAGCTACATTACAGGCTTCAAAAATGATTATCGATTTAAAAAAAAAAAAAAATTGGTGTCCTTGTAAACTTTCCAGAGATCTCTAGGATTCAGAGGAACACCTTTTGGGAACTACTGATTCAATCTATTTTCTTAGATCAAATTATTAAAAGATGAATTATGTATAAAGGCGACTAATGAAGCAAAACTTGTTTGGTCCAATTGAAAGATGCTATTGTCTTACTCTGTTATAGACGCGATAAATGATGGCCAAAGGATATTAAATTAAAACCTAAACAGGGCCGGATTAACCTATAGGCACACTAGGCACGTGCCTAGGGCCTACGAAATTCAGGGGCCTACGAAAAACTTGGGAGAAAAAAATTTGTTGACAAAAATAATTTAGCTTTAAAAACAACAAGTGTATTTTGCACAAAATTATGAAGATACAAATAAAAATATAATATTTTACGGTAATAAATTATTTTACAGAATCTTATGATCTAATATATTACTTTTTTGCTATTTTTGGATTCAACGAAATCTTGTATTATGCTGTCGAATTCCAAACTACGCAAAATGTCGTATTCAATAGACATAAGTGCGAGCGATGCTAAACGATCTTGATTCATTGTTGAACGCAAATAATTTTTTATCAATTTTAATCTGGAGAAAGATCTTTCTCCTTCTGCATTTGCATTCATAATTCCTTCTGCATTCATAATTTCAAAAGATTTACTTTTGACAATGTTA